ACCAACTTACCTGCATCAGCTGTTACTTCAGCATGCTGCAAGAATCATGATTGAATAATCTCTATTTTTTGCAAGTTAGTCCTTGCTGGTGAAAGAGGCTCAGCTGTAGTTGTGGCAGCCACGCTTGCAGTCAGACGGCTAGTTGCCTGTCAGCCCGTGTTCAGCAGATATTCCTTAATGTTGCATCGTGTTCATTCTGCTAATGTTATCTCCTCGCTTGTCGGCTGAAAGGAAAGCGGACAGGCATTAGGCGTGAAAAAGGTTGGTATAATTACGCTTGCTCTGGTTGAAATGTGTAATAGAGTGTATGTCTGTTACGACACGTTAGCAATACTAAAGGCAAGGGCGATCCATGCCAGCATTAAAGGGGCAATGCCATTATTAGTTAAACCTGTCAATGGAGGCATGGGTTTTTAGGCTCATTCTGCTGTAGTCAGAATGCAGCTTGTATGAATCGCGATGAGCGTGCGTGCGTGCGTGGCGCCGTCGTCAACAGTTGGCAGCATAATATAAACGGCGTTCGACGTACGGATTCGACAAAGTCGGGACGGGGGATAGATCCGAAAACGGAGTTGGGATGTCGAAGGCTGGGGTCAAAGGTCAAGTAGGTGTATAAAAGACGGGGGAACATTCCCTCCATATAACTTAAAGGGACAGTAGCCTCTAGGATTTTAGCTGCTAAAACTGTACATTATGTATAACAAATCGTCTATACGCCACCTGTATTTGTCACCAAGATACTTAATTATTTTTTTAGCGACATCAACAGCTAGCGAAATTTGAAGCGCGGCCATAGAACACCCGGCGACCGTGGCTGCACCCTGAAAAAGTTGCGTGATTTGAATTTTTATTTTGGGCAGGTAAATGAGCGAGGGCTAATCACAAAAGGCAATTATATTTATACCTAAAATGCCATTTAAACCGAACGATATTCATTTAGGGCAAATTTATCCATATTGATTAAGGCTGAAACTATATGTCGTTTATGAGATATTAGCAATCCTTTTGGGCTTTTAAATTAATAAATAAGAAATATCCCCTCGTCTGTAGCCCTTGCTGGAAAGGGTTTGGCGCAACTTCTCAGATTGTGGCGCTTTGAGTGGCCGGCGCGCCGTCCGTTGTAATCAAACTGTAGTCGTTATTTATACATTTTTAAAAAATATTTCTAAATTGTGTGCATTGCAACCATGACAACTGTTTATGTAGGCGCAATTATAGTAAATTCGAGCTGAAAATAAGCCCTAGAACCTAGAGGCTACTGTTTCGGCTCTTAAGGTATCAGGGGAAACGCAGAATAGTCGCACAAATCTAAACGGCTGCGTGATAGATCGGTGTATTAGCCATCTATGGTAGGAAAGCCATCACTGCTGTCGAAATTGGAGGTCAAAGGTCAATGGGAGCCACAGGGCATATTTTAGACATTTTCTGAGGATATGGTCTGAAGCGGACGTAATTTGAAGAAACTTTTTGTTTCAGGCGTGTACCTACAATTTTTTGGCTTTATTGAAAGGACCATTGAAAATGTACTTTCAACTCTGACATGGCCGATAGAGTAAGTGTCGGATAAGCCTTTTGACGCCTCAAGAGGAGGGGGTTTAACTTAAACACAACTTGATTTTGTTGATGTTAAAACAAAGGACTGAACTGGCTTTTGGCTATGTATTAGAGCCGCATACGCGCTGTGTGAAATGTAAGGCTAAAGTTGCACAGTTTAATTGCAAAAGCGCCTAATGTTTTGTTGAACGAAGATTAACGCTCGGCTTAAATCATGAATCATTTTTTAGCTCATGCTGACATAGTCAGATGCAGGCTTGTAGAATCGCATGATCGTCCGTCCGTAACGCCGTCCGAGCGTCCGAGCGTCCGTCACGAGTTGGGCACAAATCTTAACCGTCGACGTTACGGTACGATATTCGGGACGTGGGGGGGTAATCCGCAAACGAGTTGGGATGTCGAAGTGCTGGGGTCAAAGGTGAAGAAGTCACAGAGGTGTGAAAAGAAGGGGGAGGCATTGTACTCCTTATAACTTAAGGTAATAGGGAGAAAATGCAGAATTGCGCGGGCACAAATCTAAAGCGGCTCGACTTTAGGCTCGTGATAGTCGGTGTATAGCAGTCATTGGTAGAAAAGCCATTCACTGTGCCGAATTGGAGGATCACAGGTCAAAGGTTCAATGGACAGGGCAGATTTTAGACATTTTCTTTGAGGACCATGGTCGTGAAGCGGAGGGGCGATTGAAAAACTTTTTTGTTTCAGGCGTTTGAGCCTAAGCTATTTTAATGGCATTATTGAAAGGACATGAAATCTACTTTCTGCTGACACTGGGCGAAGAGTAAGTGTCAAGATAACCTTTTGAGCCGCTGCAGAGGAGGGTTAAAAGCTGGATTTGTTGAGCATGGCCGGTTTGCTAGTAAGATGCTATACATGCCTGGATGAATGAGGCTACAATGTCAGACAGTGAAATTCAAAAAGGGCTAAATTGGTTAAAGAAGTTTATGGCTCGCTTAAATTCGTATAATTATATGGCATTCTGTTACTGTGAGTATGCCTTACATGTAACGTCATGCAGCTGGCAGTGCTACTGGCCTAGTGCATGTTTGTTGGCTGACACGCTACTGTGGAGTTTTTGGCCTTAATTGGTTAGACCAGGTGGCAGCTCTCTATTGGCGCCAGCCTGTAAGGCTTGGCGTAGTAAAGATGGATGAGTGCTTACCTATTTGTCTTGGCAGATAGTTGTTGGCTACTACGTATGATGGGAGCTTCGCATCTTAATCTGAAGACACTTGAAAGCTGTTACGGCGCCAATCTCGTGGCAGAGCTTTGCATGAAGCAGATCCGCAACGAAGCATGTCTTTTGAAGTAAGGTTCCTAGATACATCCGCTGTGCATTCACTGTTTTGCGGCGTGTATGTGAACACATTTGGACTAAAGGGTTTACTAGAATCCGCACAGCTGACGCACCAACAGAGTCAAACGCAGTAGAGCGTTAGATGAGCGCGGTGTCGCTCTGCGGCACTTGTTTAAAGCAGTCTGCTCTATAAGGCACGCCTGAAGGCTGAATCAGTGAAACTGGCTGCGCGTTGGGTAGGCAAAAACAGCTGGTGGCATCACGTATGGGCTGGCACTCTTCTAATAGTTGCGCTGGCCAACTGCAATGCAACATGTGTTAAGCTCACAGCTGAGGGCGAAATTTATCAGCTGCCTTGAATATACTTACTTGGATTTTTTAGCCTGTAGGATTTTTCCGCAACTCCCGCAGTGGAGCTAGTTAGGGTATCTCAAGACGGGGCGATGCATCTTTTGATTATTGATTTAGCACTTGCACGCGCGCAAATCGTCCGGCGGCAACTATAGGCCTATTTAAATTAGATTTTATTTCTCATGTAGGCTTTGTTAAACGAATAAATAATAAACTAGTAGCCATATAATACTATATTTATCTTTCATGCTTGACATCTTAACATATATATGTAGCCTATGGCGGCGATCGCGTACCATTTACCAAGTTCATGCGAACATAAGGGCTGTTGCCAATAGAAATTTTTAGAGACACGTATAATTATTATTTCTATGGCTCGTTACACCTCAGGGGCATAGAATGAAGTATATTGAGGAGGGGCAGTAAAAGGGCATGCATCCAGCTGGGCTTCTTTAATTTTTTTTATATAATTAAGAGAGAGAGAAAGTCTAAGATAAGAGAGAGAGAAGAAGCGAGTTAGTAAATTGAGACGGGCAGGCAAACGGTGATACCGGGTGTGTATGCGAGCGAAACGGGTACAATTAGTCGTGGCGAGATGGTGTGGCAACGGGGATGGGGAGTGGGACGGCAGGGAGAGCGGAGATGGGAGGTAAGGGTGGAAGTGCGAGGGCAAGGGAGTGATAGTAGGAGGCAAGGGCCGGGGGAAGGGGTGGGACGCAGGAGGTAAAGAGGGAGGTGTGGAGCGCAGTGGGGAGGGAGGTGGGAGAGAAGGACCCCTTTGCCCTCTAATTAAACTTGGAGATCGGCATGGTCATATGTTCTGAAATCTTTTCAATGTGCACGTCAATGTCAATTCATTAGCTTGTATTTGAAATTGTTATTATGTGTTCTTGTTATTACGAATTAGCCCATAGCCAGGATTAGGTTGGTCGACGAAGTGTAGGGGGCTGATATATTTGTTCGAATTGGGCTACGAAAGTTCAAACAAGAATTAAAGTAAGACTTATGTATAAGACGTCTTGCTATCGCACAAATGATTTATGCAAGCCAGAACACGGCAGACACCAGATGGCCGCTGTCGGCAGCTGCGGCAGCCTTGTTGCAGCATGTGTTTAATAGCAGGGAAAAAATGGTCCTCTTTTTTTTGCATGGAGCTCTTTTTCAGAGTTCTGTGGTAAAAATAGCTCCTCGGTCAAAATTTTTGTATGGGAGCTATTTTGGCTGGAATAATGCTAAGCTAGGTCTTGAATTAAACACCGAGGGTAAAAAATCACATAGCAGGAGCGACTGAAAGCGATCGGCTGCTTCAAACCTCGCGAAATCGTCCGGCGTAAGTAGGGCTTCAAAATTAGCGCTGAAGGGGTCGTGTGTCGTATACGGGTACTCACAGCATACTCATGTACGCCGAGGTCAACTATCTCGATTACGCGGTCTTACGGTTAGCGGTAAGCGGAGTAGGCGCTAGGCGCATCTCACGTACTAGCATTAAGTTAATTTATGTATACACATAATATTATATGTAGCTCGGGTACATATAGCAGGGTTCTTGTTAACATTTTGACACAAGCAGGTAATTTGCGCGCAATGAATAGCAGGTAAGGCGTTTTTCCGGCACCGGACGGTAGGGCGAGCGGTGAAGGCGGGGCGGAGTCCCTGCTAGGGGGTCGCGGGGGTCGCAAAAAAACAAATTTTGATTTGACCCCACACCAATAGCCTATTTTGATGGGTATGGGTTCTAGAATTTGGAAGTAAAGTTTAGATATGGAAATATATGCTGATTAAGGTAATCGATATTATAAAGAAGAAAAAGCGCCGCGTGCACAGAGTTAAGTCTTGTTGGAAGTTATTTAAATAAACTTCGTTTTTATGCAAATATGGATTAAAGTATTTTTACGCGCCTTAGTGGGATTTTCTCAAATTGATAGCCGGTAAAAAAATTGCGGCGATAAGCGGTAAAATGAACCGTTACGGGGCGGCTATTAACAAGAAGCCCTGCTATATATGTATTACGCGCTTACGACAACGACCCCTTTAGCGCTACTTTTGAGGGCCTCACACGGGAGCGATTTCGGAGGTTTGTAAGATGGGGCGAATCGCTCATCGCTCCTGTGTATTTTTTACCCTGGTGTTTAATTCAAAGTTTCAAACACGCAACAGAAAAAAAAAAAATCAAGTATAGTGGTGTCCCTATTAATTAACACTCTCAATCCTATAATTTTATTCCACCTACTGTATGGTCAGCTTAGTTTCTGGTCTCTTTAACATGTTTAATGCAGGGAAGGATGAGGAACAAGCATTACAGTGCTCATTGTTTCCCATAATATGTCACACTGATTAAAGGAATAACATGATCAAATTACATTCATGTTCAACAGTTTATGAAGTTACGCAATCAAGGAATCACCTCCTTTTGTATCACAATACATACCTGAATTCAGCTTGTATGTATGCTTTTCCACTACCTTTGTCTTCGGCTACACGCAACAGCTGTTTGTATAGTGAGAGTACATGCATCTGAATTTTACTGTGCCGCATCCTATAACAACAAAGCATATATGAATGCATACATTATAATCGTGGATTAATCATTCAACTGCTGCTGAACTAATTCACAATTTGAACCCCACAGTATGACACATGTATGTTAGTAGCTCTAGTTATTATAGTGGTGCAGCAAAGGCTTACTGATATACACTAATGCTAGTAATACCTAATGACAATACACGATAGGTATTATTGGCTCTTTATATATAAAGGAGGTTCCCAATATGACATCACAGCCTAGTAATGGTGACGCAAAAGGAGTGCCGAGAATCTAAACACTCCGGCATTCAACACGCTCAGCGTAATCAAGAAGGTCAGCTTGGCATAATACTCTAGGGCGTACTACTCATGAATGAGACCCTGACAGTGAGTGACTAGCCCTTCCCTTGCCCGACTTCCTGTGACCAAGTGCCGAAACATGCAGATGCAGATAATAGTATATCTGCGTGAAATTATGCCGCATAAATGATAATTTTGACCTACAAGTGAAGTGAGGCCTAAACGTCAGGCGATGGCATCGTGAGATTACGCCCGCATGCCTACTTTTGCCACTCTTATAATTTGCTTTTGACCTTTTCTAACTGGTAGAGGGCGCCAAAAAGCTCAGCCTGTTTTGATCATTATTATGATCATACTCATAGATATAGCCACGCATGATCAAAATTATGGAAATATGAGATACAAGGACTCGATGCACTAATAGTAATAATAGTATGCTCAGCCATGCATAGTATATAATATCATTCAATTTCATGGTATGAATTTGATATCTAGTACTAGTGCTGATAGGGTCTGTGTCCCCCAGGGTACTGTCGGAACGTACCCTGGGTACGGTCCGGTATACCGGAACGTACCCTGGTACTAAATACTACCATCTAATATGCCGGACCGTACCTCGCCTACTCCACTAACGAGTCTAGGGAGTCGCCTACGCCTACTCCCTAACCCTAACCCTAACCCGAACCCTAACTCTAACTCTAACCCTAACCTTAACCCTAACCCTAACCCTAACCATATCAGCTAGATATTTACCAGAATACGTTCCGGTAT